GGATAATTGGGATGGGAGTGTCAGAGAAAGTGCGATTGGCACAGGACAGAGCAGAGTTTAGGGCTGTTGTACATAGGGTACCTATGAGTTGCAAGCGACTCAATGGCACATAACAACAACAACATCAATATTACAGAATTGTACAAATAGAAACTTGTACAATTAAAAATATATTTTTCTATGTATTAACAAAAGTAATATAAATTATAGAAGAAAGTGTTTTAAGAAAGGAGAACACATTCTGGATTTGGTATTTTTCTTTGCTTATTTCGAGTAATGTAGAGTCATGGTACCCACATAACTTTTCTTTGTGTCTGCTGTTACCAAGAAACTGTCATAGGAAAACAAGTCTCAGTTTTGTTACAAGTAGTTGCTGAAGAAAATGAAATATATTGATTTGGATGAAAATGTTTGAACATTAATATTTGTGTGACTTGTATTTTGTTAGGATACAATGCAACGGTCTTAGCCTATGGACAAACTGGTTCTGGGAAAACATATTCAATGGGAGGTACATACACTGCAGCACAAGAGAATGAACCAACAGTTGGAATCATTCCTAGAGTAATACAACTGCTCTTCAGAGAAATTGATAAAAAAAGTGATTTTGAATTCACTATGAAAGTATCTTACTTGGAGGTGAGTAATTTATCCTTATTATGAATTCAAAATTATCATTGGGTGAAAAAAAGCAAGCCCAACTCATTTTCCTTTAAGTTAATTTTAACTGATAGTGACCCTTCGTCAGATTTTTAGAGAGGAAACCCCCTCTAACTCCCTAGGAGCCACTGGTGGATACAAATTGCTGGAGATGGTGTAGCTTTTGGGTTAGCAGCTCAATTCACTATGTACTATGCCACCAGAGCTTCCTAACTCAACATTAGTAAGTGTAATTTTAGTAATTTACTACTAATTTTATTAAGTTGATAGTGGAAACTTACTCCATTGGAGCTGGTTCCCACCCTCTTCTTTCCTTTGTTTAATCTGACCGAAGAGTTGTCATTAATACGTAAAAAGATAATAATTATTTTAATTCAAGTTTGACTTCAGTTACTGATTCCCTGTGTAGTATTCAAAAAAGTATTTTATTTTATGTCATTGCTTTGGTACTTAATTGATAATGCTTCATGAAGAATATTATAAAAATCAGGTAAACCATTGAGCTATATATGTGGCAACAAAATATTTTTTAAAAGGTGTTTATTTGAACACTTATTGTATGTCAAGCTGTTGTAGGTATGTGGCTATATTACGTACTTGAAATATATCATGGAGTTCTGGTTGTGTTGTGACTATGTTCTTGGCTGCTAACTGAAAGATCTATTAGCTGATTGCTTCACAGGAGCAACATGGCAATTTCCTTCCATAAATATTTCAGCTTTGGAAATCCTGTGGGGCAGTAGTATTTAGTCCTATAGGGTCACCATGAGTCTGAATTGATTCAATGACAAGGGAATTTAGGTTTGAGAGAGTGTGTGTGTGTGTATGTATGTATGTATGTGTATATCTATCTAATCAGTAAACATAAACATTCCTGCTGACTATGTCTGATCTCAGGACATCAAAACCACATTCTTAAGAAACAGGGAAACCAGTTTGTTCTATAGCACTGATAAGAGAGAAAATGTTTAGTGTTTTATTTTTAAGGAGCAATTCATATATGCAGTTTGAGCTTGTAATTGAATACTTCATCCTGAAGTTAAATCTTAATTTGTTAATAAAGATAGATAGTATAAAGTTGAGTGACAGGGAGTTAAACATCATAAGGTAGCCTTTCATATTTTCTCACAATTTTTTAAATAATTTTTTTCAACTTTTTTTAAAAAATAATTTTAATGAACATTTACAGAGAATTTGGATTTCCATTCATTCATTGCTGCACTTTTCTACCTGCCCAGCCCTCTCCCCCCGTCCTCCAGTTCGCTCCTCTCTTTCAAAAGTAAAAGAAAGACTCCCTCCCTGGTACACAATCCCCCTGCACCCCTCCAACCACCCCAAGTACATTCCACTATCACAATTTTTTTAAAAAGCCTTCTTGAGTCTCTTGATTAACCTCATTATGGCCAAGGTAATTGAATGTAAAAATAATAATTTAAAAAAACCCACAAATCAAAATTCTATAAAACCCCCCCAAACTCAGAAACCTGGTTATTAAATAATAGCAACAGCAATTATAGCAAATAAATACAGTACTTAGTACATGCTAAACACTGTTATAAGTACTTAAAAGTTTTGAATGGCATTAAAATCTTTATTGCCTCTTCTTTTTGTTTCCCACATCCACCCCTTCTTGTTAGGTCCCATTGGCTCAGCTTTGACTCACAGCTATTTTGTAAATACCAATTTAAGTGACACAACTCCACCAAATAACTGAATTTAGGCAACCATGTAACTTTTTTTTTATGTCTGTTGTTCCTATGAAACTATCTTAAGAGAGCAGTTATGCTGTAAATGATGTATGGATTCATTCTTGTAAAATATTTAAATAATTGCATATAATGTTAAAGTCCTTTTCTTAATTACTTAAGTAATGCCTTTTTGTTGTAAAAAACATTAGAAAATACAGTAAAAAATAATTTAAAAAGTTACCTATGGTCTCACCACCTAGGCTTTACCACTGTTAACATCTTTTTATGTCTTTATTGTAAAAAATACCAGATCTATAATGAAGAAATCTTGGATCTCCTATGCCCATCTCGTGAAAAAGCCCCTCAAATAAATATACGGGAAGACCCTAAAGAAGGCATAAAGGTGTGTTTGTCTCCCACTTGATGTTATTAAAAATGTTGGAAAATTCTAAAGTTCATATCCCTTTTGTTTGTTGCTAAGGTTTCATTTAATTTTTATTTTATTTTATATGTTTTTTTCTTCTTTTTCTTCCCTCTATTCACTCACTCCTTACTGAGAGTCATCCTTGGACTAATGCCGCCCTTGTGATCTCTTGTGTGGTTGAATGCTATAAGTACTTAATTTAGGTGGCTATGTTGCACAATGGATAGCATGTTGAACTTCTAGTGACAGTAAGTGCTTAATTGCTCCCTTGGTGTTGATGTTCACTTTATAGATCTGTATATTATATGGCTGAAAGTTGTACCACAGGGATAAATTCAGTTCAGGTTCAAAGAGTGCTTAAGGTCCATATTCTCAGAGTTTTCTTAAGCCTAGTTGTTAGTGTGATTTTGAATTTTATTTTACATTTATCTCTCACTCTATCCAGGACCTTCTATTAGGATCTCTTTTATAGTAGTTAGCTGCTTACCATCTAGTTCTTTTGATCTCAGGGTCATGGAAATTGAGGATCACAATATCTTTTGGTGCTATTCACTGTTTCCATGTGTCTGATTTTCTTAACTATTCTTTGCTCTAGACAAGGATAAATCAATCCTTATTCCTTAGATGATGACTTGTAAGTATAATTAATTGCTAACGTTCTAAGATTAGTCTGTCTGGTACAGTGGTCATTAGTCATAAGTGTTGTATTAAATTTAATTGAACATGAAATAAAATTTAAAATTTAGTTCTTCAGTTGTACTAGGCATGTATCAAATGCCCAATAAACACATGTGGCTGGTGGCTACCATAATGGACAGTGCAGATATAGAACATATCTAGGATCACAGCACTATATAGACGTTGTGGTAGGATTTGAGATGATACTTTAAAAGTGAGCAGTTTAAAAAGCTTTTTTAAATTCCTAAGTGCCAGATGAATAAACACATCACTTATTTGAGAAGCTTCTGTCAAATTATATAGATGCAGAATGAAGAGTTGAAAAGAAACTTTGGGGCAAGGTTATGACTTTTAATGTGGCAGTAGACCAAATTCAGAGGCAGTGCAGAAAGGAGGCAGAAATTGGGCCTAGTGCCAACTTGAGTACACCCAGTTTTCACTCACATAGATTTTGAAGACTGTTTCATTATACAAAAAATCATTGTCATGTGAAAATAGAGAATAGTTATATCATTACATAACTGCCAAATTACAACATTCCGTAACTGCCAACTTGCTGAGAATCATGAGCCAACCAAGATGCCACAGAACTTTAATGACATTTATCTCTATTCTCTTCATGCATGATGGCCAATTAATTGTGAGTTGTTAATGCACAATAGATTATTTTACTATTGTCATAATTTCAAAATGTTGGAAAATGAGCTGGTCAATAAATGAACTAGTTGATATGTGTATTCAGGGATGGGAGGAGCATAGCCCAGAAGTAGGTGGAAATATATAATACAAATTTACAAAAACTTGGTAAAATAATGTCTTACTTATCTATTCAATTCCAGTTGGAATGATTTCACAGCTGACCTTCCAAAGCTGTAAACCCCCAGGGCAGAAATTGCCCAACTTTTTTCCGTGGAGCCACTGGTAGGCTTGAACTACAAAAGAGGTATAGCCTTTGTTTAGCAGCACAACTTTAAGGACTCTGCCACCAGAGCTGGAAGGTTCAAAAGCTCTAACTTCTGCAGTTGGACATTGAGTGAACATGCAATAAAGATGCATTAATAATAAATAGTGATTGGAATGTATAAGTTGAAAACAGAGAAGGAAGGGAAATATGACCTTGGTTATAGATATGAGACAAAAGGTCACAGTGATGAAATTTTGTACAATCAATGATTTATTCATTGCAAACACTTTAAGAGAAAAACACAACTCAAAACAAATGGCAACAATACGGAGGGACATTATAGGAATCAGCACAGGTCAAACTAACTACATCATTGGAAAGAGTTGGTAGAGAAGCTCAATTTCAGCAGTTAAAATAAGAACAAGGGCCGACTGTGGAACAAACCATCAGTTATTCATGTGTAAGTTCAAATTGAACCTGAAGAAAATTTAAAACATGTACAGAAGAATCAAAATACAGTCTTGAGTCTATCTCTGCTAATTTCAAAGCCATTTTAAGAATAGGTATGATGCGTTGAATACTAATGACAAAAAATCAGGTGAGTTGTAGGCGGACATCATGAAGAAAGCAAAAAGAGATTACAGACAGAAAAGACCAAAAATAGATGCAAGAGGAGACTCTGAAACTTGGGCTAGAATGTAAAGAAGCCAAAACCAAGGACATTAATTAGTGCTGAGGCAAGAAAACTGACCAGAATATTTCAAAGGACAGCTCAAGAAGTCAAAGCAAGTACTTCCAGTATTGAATAGGAGTGATGATTGTGGACATCCTTGTCTGGTCCCTGTTTGCAAAGTGAATCCCTTTAGACTTTCTCCATTGAGAATGATGTTGGGTCTTGGTTTTGAGTATACAGTTTTCACTGTGTCGAGGGAATTCCCTTCTATTCCTATTTTGTTGAATGTTTTAATGAGGAAGAGGTATTGGATTTTCTCAAAGGTCTTTTCTGCATTGATTGATAGGATCATGTGGCAAAATCACTGGCAATCAGAAATGCAAATTAAAACAACAGTGAGATAATATCTCACCCCAGTAGGAGTATCAAAGTTTAACAAAATAGCAAGCAAGAAATATGGAGAGAATGTGGAGAGATTGAAACTCTCATGCACTGCTGGTGGAATTATAGAATAATAGGAAGCTCTAGTAGCCTTGTGGCAAGAAGCTGCACTGTAATCCCGAAGGCATATAGTTTGGGACTTACCAGTTCTGACTCGATGGTATACAACAACAACAACTCTGGAAGGAAGTGTGGCATTTCCTCAAAAAGCTGATTTTTTTTAGGAAAAAGTAACCCCATATGGCCCAGCTATTCTACTGCTAGGAATATACTCCAACGAAATCAGAATTGAGGCATGAATGGAGATATATACACACCTATGTCATAGCAAGAAAATGGAAACAGTCCAAATGTCCATCAACCAATGAATGGATTGAGAAATTGAGGTACACTCACACACTAGAATACTATACAACACTAAGGAGAAACAATTTTGTAAAATAATATGTAACATGGGCGAGTAAAGAACATTATGCTGAGTGAACTAACTCAGTCTCATGAGAACAAATACTGCATAAGACCATTGTAAAAATAGAGGGATAACGTAGGATGGGAATTAATAATGGCTGAAAGAGAGAACAGGGTGGAAAAAAGGGAAGGGTGGAAATCACTAGGATAGCAGAGTTTAGTGGCTGTCCTGCGGGGTGAGGGGAAAGAATAGAAAAGATTCAATGGAATTCAAAATGTCGGGGTAAAAACAGGCATAGATCAATAATAATTATATAAAATGCAATGTATATAAATAAGTATATGAACCAAGGTAAATTAAAGGTTGTATAAAAGAAAATGGACATGAATGAAACACAATGTAAGCTAATTATTGTATGCAAACCAATGAAAAAAAAGACTTTAAAGAACAAGACAAAGCAAAGTATTATAATGAAATATGCAAACAGCTGGAATTAGAAAACCAAAAAGGAGGACATTCTTGGCATTTCTTAAGCTGAAAAAAAAAGAACAAATTTAAGCCTCACGTTGCAATACTGAAAGATTCTGGAAGCAAAATCTTGAATGATGCAGAAAGCCTTAAAAGAAGGTACAAAGAATATGCATTCACTATAGCAAAACAGTTGTTTGAGATACATCATTTCAGGAAGTATTATATGAATAAGAACTTATAATAAAGAAGGAAGAAGTTCAAGCTGCATTGAAGCTGCATTCATTTTTAATGGAAAATAAGGCCTCAGAAATTGATAGTATACCACTTCATGTGTATCAACAAAGAGATGCAACCCTGTACTGGCTTACTAGTTTAGTCCAGGAAATTGGAAGAGAGGTACCTGACCAATAGACTTGAAGAGATCCATTTTTGTTCTCAGGAAAAAAAAAAAAAACAACCAAAAAAACAAAAAAACGTGATCCAACAGTATGGAAATTATTGAACAATATCATTACTATCACATGCAAATAAAGTCTTACAGAAACTTATAACAGCTGGAATAGTGCATCTATAGAGGATTGCTTACAATTCAAGTGGGATTTATAAGAGGCCATGCCATGATGGATGTCCTTGTTATGTGCCATCAAATTGCCTTCAATCATAGTGACCTTATGACTCCCACACGCCTACCCCCATTACCCCAGTTACGGTTTCAAACCATCTTATCTGGGGTCTTCCTCTCGTGCTGTCCTTCCATGCTTTTGAGCATGTCATCTTTCTAGAAGAACTATCCATCCTGGCCACATGCTCAAAGTATGTGAGATGGAGAATCAAATTCCTTGCCTCCAAGAAGAAACTTGTTTTCAGCCTCTCTAAGGCAGACATGTTTGTTCTCTTGGTGGTCCAATGTATGTTTTCTTCAGTATCACAACTCAAAGGCATCAGTTCTTTTTCTCCCATCCTTACTCATTGTCTAGCTCTCTGATGTAATTGCAAAGACCATGGCCTGGATCAGGCATACCTTAGTCTCTAGGCTGACATCTGACACAGAGGGATATCATTCCTAAGGCCAAATTGTTGTTGTTGTGTTCTGTTGAGTCAATCTAAGGGAGTCGAGTCAAGGGATATCATTACTAATGCCAAATAGATCTTGACTAAAACAAAGAATATAAGTAAGCGGTTTACTTGTCTTTTATTCAGTTGTTGCTCTGTACCATAGGTTTGGAACTGAGCCATAGCTGACCCTCCAGGAGATTTTCAGAGGCAGTAATCTCACTGGAAGAAATTGCTTCCTGTGCATCTGAAAGTTGGACAATGAATGAAGATGACAGAAAATGAATTGATGCCTTTCCATGGGCATGTTAGGGTACCAAGTATCATGGATTTCCAAAAGAACAAATCTG